TATGACCCTTTGTTTGAAATTTTTCTTGGCCTTCAGATCTGATTGGATTGAATATTGGATGGAGAATCCATATTTTGAGACGGCATTTGAAAGTTGGGCAGCCCAAGCATGAGGAGGCATATTATGCAACTGTTCTTCAAAACAAAGCTTGGGTAATCTATCTGGGTCCATAGATAAGATCTTCAGCCAATAGCTGAATACTTGAATTACTACTAGATGGTTTTGTATAGGGGGGTGTACCCAACTCTGCCCTTAATGCTGGAGTTGGTGTAGACTTGTCCACACCCAAGACACATTTCAAAAAAGTGGATTGTATCTGTTCCAGTAAGGGGGCATTTACAGTATATATCCCCACAGTTCTGTGCCATATCTAATCATTGGGACTATTTTGCTGTTATAAACCTTTATGATTGGAATTAGAGAACCTGGTAGCTGTGGTTGGTGAGATGCCTTATGGTGTTGGCACAGGCTGTAGCCCTTAAAGAACTCCTCTTAAAATGTGGGAGCCAGGAGCCTGTATCTGTAAAAGCAAGCCCTAAGTATAGATGGGACTTAACCTGATCTATATGTTCCCTATCCAGGCTCCAGTTATACCTAGTCCGCCTCTTTCTGAAAACAACTACCTTGGTCTTGGATTTATTGATGTTCAGGTAGTTGAGTGCACAGTATGAACTAAACCTGTGCAGCAGTCTTCTCATCACTACCTGGGTGTATGATATCAATACCATGTCATCTGTGTAAAGCAGAATATTTACACGTTTATTTTTAACTTTAGTCATATGCATATCGGTTGAATGAAGGAACTTTGGGATATTGTTAATGTACAGATTAAACAAAATGGGAGCCAGTAAACATCCTTGTCTGACCCCTTTATTGGTACTAATTATCCCTGTTACGAAACTATGTGCTTTTGTGCGTACCCTTAGGCATGAGTTTGAATATAATGCCTTGATTAAAGAGAGGAGTCTAGGATCCATGGTCAGGTCTGTAAGTTTCTTCCAGAGAAGGTCCCTATTTATTGAATCAAATGCTATAAAAAGTTGTAAACAGTTGGCTCCCTTTAGCTGTATATTTTTCTATTAGGTGACACAAAATAAAACAGTTATCATTAGTAGAGTGACCAGATCTAAATCCAGTTTGCTCTTTGGGTAGCAAGCCCTTTTCAGTTGCCCAGTCCTCAATCTTGTATAAAAGATATTTGGCATACAATTTGGCTACAATGTCAATTAGACTATATAATTTGAGGGATCACCCATATCACCCTTTTTGTAAATGGGGACCACAATAGAGAGCTCCCAAACTGCTGGAATTTGGCAGGAATTATTTATATGAGTAAATAAACCTGCAGTAAGGGAGCCCCCCAGTTAATGTGACATTTGAATAATTCAAGAGGTAGAAGATCTTCCCCAGGAGGCTTATTGGACTTCAGAGTCTGAATGAATCCTTTAGTCTTTCCATCAGTCACTGGAGGCCAGGGTGGGGACGGACTACAGGCCTTCTGTAGATCATTTTGTGAGTCCTCTAATCCACTACAACTTGAGGCAGTGAATAATTGGCTGTAATATTCCTCCCACATTGAGGCAGGTATAGGGAAGTCCAGGGAGAACCTATGTTCCCAATATCCCTGCAACCGAATGCCCAAAAAAGATCACGTTTGGGGGTTTTGGCTGCTAACTCTAAATTTAACCAGAGAGAGGACAAATGGTGAGACTTTTTGTGATTGATAGTTTTCTTGTCCTCTTGTCTAAGCCCTAGCATGGCAGCATGGTTATTATTTGATGGATAGTTCTGTGTTAGTTGCATAGCTAGCCTTAATCTTTTTCTTAGGGAATAACAGTCTGAGTCAAACCAATGGCGGCCTTTTATCTGAGACCTTCTAGGGAGGGCCTTTGCAGTAAAAAATTTTTTTTAGTCCTGCACTTAAGTTTTCATAGGCACAGAGTCGACATCTGTGCAAGGTGAAGTAACTGCATCTATCAGAGTTGGGGCTTGATCAGAATTCTTATATTCAGTCAGAGACCATCCATTCTGGCCCAGTTTATTCCTCTGTCCTGGTGGACCTCTAGATGAAGTGAAACCCATCTCTCATTTGTGGTATTGGGTCTGAGGTCTGAATGACCATAAAAATTTATAGCAACTGGTTGGTGGTTGCTATCCTCTTTTACATAAACCTGGATGTCTGAGCAAAGGGACATGTTATTATCTCAGACACATATATCATCTAAAGTGCTACTTGATTTCTCTTGATGGTAAGTAAGGGGGTAAACAAAACTTTGGTCCTTGCCCCCTAGAATTTGCAGGTTACATTTTCATACCAGGTTTAACAACTGTATACCAGCAGCATTTCTTTTCTGGTCCCTAAAAGACCATAAAGGTAATAGGGAGTGGAATTCTTTGGGGATGTTCATGTTACTAATATCATCTTGTATAGAAGGCCCTAGCCTCGCATTAAAATCTCCCAAAACAATTATAATTGTTTTAGGAATTTTTGAGATTAAATCTATCAAGGTTTGCTCTAAGTTCACCCATATATCAGGAAAATAATATGTAGGTGTTTCTCAGCTGAAGACAAGATATATTTATATATTAGTTGCAACTAAAATATTAATTCCCAGATAGAGCATTGCACTGTATGAATGTGACCTTTCCTACCAATATTCAGAAGAAAATTATCCTGTATCACTCACTCAAATATCTTAATATTTACAAAAATGCCAAATTTATCAAGTCTGGACTTCTTATTTACTTGAAGAGAAATATGACCTGATAGATTGATTATTTTATAACCTATATTGCTAGGGTGTTGGCAGAAATTACTGTTCAAATGAACATCTAAATGATCTGAAGATGTGCAAATAATATTCATTTTGTGATGTTAATGTAATTGTACTCTAGATTGCTAAAATCAGAAGTGAGGAAGGTGAATTGTGATGTGTTAAAAGGCCCTTGAATCCAAATTTTCTACTGACCCCAAATGATGCTTGTGCTTCTTATGATCAGTATATCACATGTGAACTAATCATGATCAACACTTAAATGAGAATCTTATGAAAACTAACTTTCCAATACCCTATTTGTAAATTAATATCTCTTCTCACCAAAAGAAATGTCAACATTTTTATTAGGATTCAAAAGGCTCTTGAGAACAACTCAATAATTGAATGTGTGGTTAATTTCAAAGTATCTTTAGCTATGTTAAACTGGTTCAGAGTAGATACTTTTTAAGGATCTGACAGGTACTTGACACTTGTAAAGGAGTAAGCTGCTTAATAAATTAGATTTACCAATTAAATGAATAGACTTTCATTCTTAAAAGTTAATATTATAATGTAAAGTAACATGTACAATTAAAATAGCAGCTGAAAATCTTCTGTTTCAATTTTTTTAAACATGGATGAAAGTATCAGAATAATTGTGCAACTTTGCATTTTTTTTAAAAAAAAATAGAAATTGGTTCTATTTCTATTTTCTGAAATGATTTGAAAATGTATTAAGAGTTTCTAATTTTTTTTTCCTTTTCTCACAGATGATTCAACTCCTAAGCATGTCACCAGGGTAAGTACTATAGAATTATGCTTCAGTTCCCTTGAAAGTTAAATTATTACACAGGCTTTCTGTTCATTGCAAATTACTCTTTTGATGTATTGCACTTCATTCACTATAGGAACTCCAGAAAAATTATACTTGGAACTTTCAGAACATAAAAAGTAACAGCGTTCATAACTTTGGCAAAGAAATATAGGCCCTGCAAGCAAGTATAATTAAACCTCACTAGAGATGAGCAGGCTATCTTAAATTTACTTTGAAAATTAGCTTAGCTTTTTGACTATTACATTAAATCATTAGAAAACACAAATTTCTCTTTCTCCCAGTTTTCTTTCTTTCTTATACCATTCCTCCCCTATCCCACAAAAGCCTTCCCTTGGAGCAAGAGGTATGATTAACAGATGAAATAGGTACAACAGATTACAAGGGATGTGAATCTTGCTTTAAACAAGCCTAGCCTATTTCAGTGCAAAAGTGTTCATACAGAAGACTGAGTTGTATTAATGTAAATCTTAATGACGCAAATTAATTATCTGGTAAGCTTCTCCCTTGCAAAACCTGTAGAAGAGAACATCATTATATTGTTGAAGAAATGGAATGTAAAGCTAGACTGTTAGAGTTACTTTCTACTGAATTTTCTATCTTTTCACAGCTAGCCATTATATTGGATATATGCATACCTCTAGGGTTTTGGGCTGCAAAAATCTGAAAGACTGTAAAATGGGAGCAAAGGGTTATAGCATTAAGTACCCCTAATACTTTGCAAATATGGGTCTGGCATAAAAGTAACTGAGTCTGATCTTTCATCTGTTCCTTAGAGCATTTTGCAAGACCAGAAGGGCAGTCAGATTAATATTACAGATTCAATGTAATGCTTAGTTTTCTCCTAAATTATGTACATATCGCTTTTGCTTAATTCCAGCTTATATCATAATAGGACGATTTGGATTGTGTGCAAAAATATTGAGGACAGAAAACCTCCTTTGAACATAGTATATACAAAACAATTAAACTAATTAATCAATCCAAGTATATACTCTTCAGACTAAAAACCTGTCAACTTTCAGCAAAAGGTTTTTGATTCAGCTCTTAGAAATGTTGCAAGTATGACATCAGAGTTAACTTTTTACTTGATCTGTATCTGCCTCAGGTGTGTGTGTGCATGTGTGTATAAAATGAAGCCATTGGTTTTCTGAGAAACTTAAAACATGTTTTACTAAAACTGTACTAATGAATGTCAGCATCCATGTGATTTAAATCTGAAACTGAAGTGAAAATCTAATCTAAATATAATTGTTAACCTCTGTTTGAATGGCAAACACCAAATAGCATATAAAAACAAAGATCTTGTTTCATGGATCTAAGAGGAGGTAGTCATGTCTTCAGTTTATAGCTTGAACCTTAGTTTTTGCACAGTAAATGGAAGCAAAGATGTGCTCATGGAAGTGAACTCTGTGAATGAAACAACTTACCCTAGGAGCTCTACTCTTGTCTTGTAAAAAAGGGCTAGTTCAACAAGAATGACTAAATCCCAGTTTTGTGGGAAGCGTTTAAATGGGCTGTCTGCATAATTGGACATTTGTAGTATACTTGACTATATGCATACAAAGGAGAAAAGATATTTGTGCTTGATTATGAACAGCTTTCTCTTAAATAAATTTTAATTCTCATGATTCAAAGAGGATACTTCTTTAAAATAGCTTTAGTGTTAAATTGAAACATTTTCAAGAATAGAGGTATATTTAGCTGCAAATATTTAAATTTCTAATCAGTTTTCCAAGTAAATCACTAAACAAAAAATATTTTGTTGATGTAAATGTCGGCACATAGATGGAAATATCTTAAATTATTAAATTATTTTAAATGAAAAGGTACTTAAAATGTCCTCCTAGTTAAATTATTTTCCCATGTACAGTAAACACCTGACTAACAGTAAAAAAGAGAGCTCATGATACAGTGCTGAAATTAAACTATCCTACAATAAGTTCCAAATTGAGTTTTCTTAAGATGTGATTTGTTCGTTTTTTGTATAATTATTACTAAATTGCAGGAGTCTCATGTATAAACACACTAAATAATATAAACTTCATCCCTTCAAAAATGGAAAATACTGCATATGGTTTTCTGGGTAATAAATTTTGTTTCTTCCATTTTGTGATGGAATGAATGAAGAATGTAAATTTTAGATATTTTTCATTCTCATATTTCCTCATTTTTTGTCTTATCTCTTCATTTTTGTATCAGCTAACAAAGCTTCTTGTTTTATCAGTAGATTTCAGTTCATTGATGAGACTCACCCATATGAAACACAGTATGTTTCATTCCTGAATTTTATGTGCTTTCTTCTATTTTTAAAATAAGAATTCTTCTTTATGAAAGCGATTTCATAATTGCTTACCAAAATCAGATGTTCCTATGGTTTTTACGAGATTAAAGTAATTCAAATCTTGCTGTAAAAAGAGTCCTAAAGTATGAAAAAAAATAGTTTCAAATTGTTTATTGCTAAAAATCACTGACCATTTCTTTCCTGGAAGAAGTTTCACACATCACACTAATTCAGTGTTATCCAACCTGATGCCCTTTGCATATGTGAACTTCAACTCCCAAAATTCTCAGGTAGCACAGCCATCACTAAAAATTGTGGGATTTGGGACAATTGATTTGCAACAATGGGAATATCAGTGGAAGACGAGTATTAAATTTACTATGAATGTCATACTTAGAAAAAACTATTACAAGATGTTTGGCCTTTGGTAGATTACTCTAGGATCGATTGCTGAAACAGATTTCATTTTCTAAAAGTTGTTGGAAATGCAATAATTTGGTTGGGTCATTCTTTCACAGTTGGTGGCAAAGTTGTAAATGTTGAGGGCCACTTTGGTGCTTTGAAAATTTACCCTGTGATTCAAATTTAGAGTGTATACATTTTCTGAAGAATCTTTTTCTTCATTTTTAAAATATGGCATTCTGCAGTTATGTGTTAAAAGAATCTTAATTTAAATTTATGAGCTGACTCTCACCTGCTTAATAGTTAAAATGTTGCATTATTGCACATTGCAAAGAAGTGCTTTTTCATAATACTATAAGGAAATTGTCCTGAAATACATTTATTTTTACAAGTTGAATTTAAGCATTCTAATTTTCTAACAATATCATGTTCTCAGGCCACTAAAAGCGAACAAGTAAAAATCTGCACTCAGAAAGATAGCTCTGATATATTTTTGGATAACTAGATTACTTTAATTTTGAACTCTTAGTTTATAGCAGAGCAGTGGAATCAGACATATTCCAATACATGTTGTTCCCTCTTAGAAAATAACCTGTCTATCTAATACGGAACTAATACAGAAATCATCCCATTATTAGAAATTAATATGGTGACTCCTCATTTCATATTATGATTTTTTTAAAAAAAGATTGCTTAACAGTAGAAAAATATTAAACAAGTGTTAGTATATAGCATTGAGAAATATTCACAAAATCAAGACCAACATCCTAAGCGTACTTTAAAAATATCAGTGAATAGATTGGAGTTTGATATACAGGTAGTTGTTTTGTGTACATTGAATGTTCAGTCAACAGCTTCTAGGCAATATAAACTACTTAACATAAATATGATTGTGTTATTCTGTACAGATGTGTATATATTATTAAGTCAATTTAGCAGTTTCTGCCATTGATGAGAGGGATTTTTGGTTGAAGCCACCCTCAGAACTTCTCTAGAAATACTGAGTTTTAACATTTATGATTGGCATGTACCACACAATAGTATACATAACTTCTCAAAAGTACGTAATATTAATTCTCCCAGATTTATTTCCAGATAAGTGGGTATGCAGACTTGAAGCTTCATGCTACAGTCTTCAGTTAGCCCTGCTGAATACACATGGTTTTACTTCTCAATATATATGAATTAAATATATTTCTTCATGGTACAGCCATATCCTGTTAACTATTACCATCTGTAATATGTTGCTGAGCAAATCCATGAATACAGTTCCCACAGGTTTTGTAGATAACCAGAATTTTGAACAGCAAAGCAAGATTAATTCCATGCATACAGACTTAGCCATTCAAAAGAAACAAAATATCTCAATTATAATTTATTAGGGATGAATGACACTACAAATTGGTACAATCTCCAAAATACAAGGAATTTCCTTTTTCTGTCAATCTGTTGAAAAATTACTCTATTTACCAGTCAATCCCTATATTTAGAGTAGGGTAAGCATCCATGCCACTCAGTTTAGCTAACAAAAAATATAGCTTGATGTTTATTTATTTATCAGCAGCAAATATCAAAAATATTTAAGTGGCAATGCTGGGATCAAAGGAAGGCCAAAGAAGGGAGGGAGAAAAAGAGAGAGAGACACAAACAACAAACAAGATGTTGGACAATAACCACAATCTACATGAACTTTCTCCATATCTAAAGGCATAAAACGTTGCAAAGGTCCTGGAAGCAATAATGTGGGTAATTAGTATGGACAGACCCAAAGGGAGCGGTCTTTGGTTATTCCTCTCTTAACTTTTAAAGTGCATAACAGTAGCAGAATAGAGATGGAAAGTAGAACACCAGGTGGTCCCTTCTCGATTCTGTACTATGAAGAAAACAATTTCGTGGATGGGGATGGTGTATCCAACATTATCAGGTTCTTTTTTATTTTCTCCAGAATGTAAGAGTGGCTGCTTTAACCTATCAAATCTTCCAAGATACAATGATTATATGTTTTTAGAAATATAGGAAGTTGCCTTAAATCAAATAAACATTTCAGTGAGTTCAGTATTATTTTCTCAGATTGGTATAACTTTGTTCGAATTCCAGAAAATAGTATTTCCTTGCCCTGCCTTGAGATGCTGGGAATTGAATCTGGGACAATTTGTATGCAGTGCATTCAGCTATGACTAACTTGTACAATTGATTTCAGTATGGGCAAAACAAAAACCCAAAAAACCCGCCGTGATTTAACCTGGATCTAATCTATAGGAAATTGACATTGATAAACTGTCTAGAAAAATAGTTTGTTGTGATTCACCTTTCTCTTTTGTCTAAGCACTGAATATTTTCTCAGCTGAATTTTTCAGCTTATAAAATAACTTCTTTTTCTCACAAATGCTACTTATTTATTCATAGGAGTTTGAAATTTCGAAATATATTCTTATTTCCAATAGTACCAGAATTCAGATATGCAAGGAATGGTGCATGAACTGAACAGCCATATAGAGAAGAGGATGGATATAGGAGGGAATACTCAACTGCTCTTGTATGAATTGAGTGCCATCATTCGAGTGGGTAAGAAAACATGTTTTATATTTGGAACTGAAATCTATGCATTGGTTTCATAAAACATTTTGAGGATATTTATATACATTTGATATAGAATTAATTTGATATTAATGCAAACTACTCAGAAATCAGTAAACGAGGGTATTATCTAATGTTATCTAATTACATCATAATGAGTGAAGGTAAAAATGATAGTAAGATGCCATTGAGTCAGGTCTAATTCCTGATGACTGTATGGATAAATGCCTATTGTCCTATACCAGTGGCAATCTGCAGCTCTTCCAGGGACATTCCAGTGATATCTCTTATCCATTGTTTTCCCCTTGATTCACTTACTTTAGGATTAGTCTCTTCTAGGTCTTTTCTTCTAATCTATCATTTGCTTATATCACATATCCAAGGTATTAGAGTTTCTACTTTCTAATCATCTCTACAAGAGAGCAATCAGTCTTGATTACTTCCAGGACTGATTGATTAGTTCTTCTTAACAGTCCATGGTATTTATAGGCACTCTCTTGAAATCCATAATTCAGAGGTATGTATCTTCTTTCTCTTTCTCAATATATGGTTTTCATAGCCATATATTACCACTGGAAAAACCACTGCTTTAACTATTATTTTGTTGCTATCTGACAGATTTTTGGTACTGTAGTTGTCCAAACTTAAAGTGATTTTTCCCTAGCACAAGCCTCACAGAGTTTTCTTTAGCAAGATCAAGATGAAAGTAGCATTGATACAAGAATTCCAGTAAGTCAATTATTTTCAATTTAGAACCAATATTAATTAGAGGAAATATGTACATTAGAGTAGGACATTTTTTAGTCTTTTTCTCACAGCCTTACAGTGCACCATGGAGTAGGTGGATTTCTTCTCTGATAAGGGGGAGTTTGAGCTGTGGGTTGTTATACAACAGTTGTTTGAATCCTTATCAGTCTGAGAACCAACTCTTGTACAATAATCCATTATCTTCTCTAGTTACTTCTTTCTTCCTAGGATTAATCTCCTTACTTCATCAGCACACTGTCCATTTTTGAGTATGCACAATTATCCTACCTTGTTAGGGTAGTTACCTCCCAGGGAAGGATGATGTAGCAGATAATATAATATATGTTAGATGAGGGTTGAAAGAAAAGTAATGACTTCAATGCTATAAGTCACCAACAGATGGCAATCCTGATGCTGTAGAAGCTCTGACATGATCCTTAGTATCTCTTCTTTCACCTCAGTTGGCAGGAAGTTGCTGTCAGAAAAAGTTGGGTTGCTATTGTTCATGAAACAATGGTGTGCTGTAAGTAGTGTGCCATTATGGAATTAATGAATGCTGAAGGAGTCCTTCCAAAATTGAATTTCAATGCCAAATGCAGATTGTTTCTGGTGAACATTGTTTACGTCAGTACTGTGCTTTGCCGGGCCAAAAAATGTTAAAATGGTGAGTTGGGAAGAATTGATTTGTATGATCAAGAATGAAGTGACCAGCAACTGATGAATTTCACATGAGAAAGGCTGATCAAATTATTAAGTACAATTGGAAAGTCACTCAAAGGGAAATTGCTATCAAGTTTGGCATTTCATAGAGACATGTAGGTCACGTATTGACATTTTTATATCAGAAAGTTTGTGCAAGACAAGTTTCTCACATTCTGAGATCAGAGATGAAAACTTCAAGAGTTGAAATTTGCCACCAATTATTGTCACGCTATGAGAATGAAGGTGAGTAACTTCTTCACAGTATTATGACAGCCAACGAAACATGAGCTCATTGTTACAACCCAGAAATGAAATGTCAGTTCACAGAATATCATTATAAAGCTTCACCGGTAGGAAAAAAATAAAAATAAAAAACCTAGTCTTCAGCATGAAAACTTATATTTACAGTGTTTTGGGACACAGATGATATTATTCATATGGATTTCCTTGAACCTGCTATCAACTCAGAGTACTACATTACAATACTCAAAACTTTGAAATAACAATTAAACAGAGGTTGGAAGCATAAGAAGGACATTTTGCTGCAACATGGCAATGCTAGGCTTTATACCTCACAAGCCACCCAAAAGGCAATTGCAAAGTTGGATCTTACCCCATCCACCATATAGTCCAGACTCCGTACCATGCAACTCCCACCTTTTGCCAAAATTGAAGGAATACCTTTGTGGGCATCTGTTGATTTGAATGAAGGGTTGGAAAGGATTTTCAGAACCTGGTTGGAGGGACAAAGAGTGGAGTTCTTCCATGAAAGCTTTAAGAAGCTTGTCCATCATAGTATGGAGTATAGCTAGTGGTGGTAATTATGTGAAGAAGTAAATACAGATAATAAAAGAGCTCATTTCAAGGATTATTTTCCTGTTCCATTTATTAAAGTATCCCTATTTAAATTAAAGTTATGGAGGTGGTGGTATTACTTTTAATTAAACTGTATTATATTGATCATCTGGATCCTTTTCAATCCAAGTTCAGACCTATACATGGAATAGAAACACACTGGTTTTTCTAGTTGATGACCTTTGTCAGGACTCAGATCAGGTTAGTGCTCAACTGCCAGTCCTGTTTCACTTCACAGTATTATTCAATACCATTTATCCTTCTTGGCTGCCTGCAAGGGCTGGGGACTGGAGGTATTGTCTACTTGTTTGCACTCTTTAGAGGGAAGGTTCACTCTGTGGTTACAGGTAAAGAAAGGTTGGTCTGATGGCTACTTACATAGTTCCATAAACATCGGGGTGGTCTTCCCTGAGACTGGCCCGCCCCTTGTCTCTTGCTGTATCTCCCCATGCCCATTACCACTGCAGTGCCCTCCCATGCTACCTCCCCTCTCTCCCTAATTGGGTCCCCTCCCCCTCAGCTTTCCATCCCCCAGGCACTGAGAACCATCCACATCCAACCTAAACCATCCTAGACAGACAGGCTCTGCTCAGGTTCTGGCGCTTCTGTAGCACACTCAGTGCCTCCACCTGAGCAGGCCCTCCATCCCAGCACCTCCCCCAAGGTGTTCTTCCTTCACACAACTCTGCAGCACCCAGAACCAAACCTTACTGGTTATGATGGATGTTTTAATGTTTTATTATTTATCACAAACAATGTAATGTTTTATATTTATGGTGGATGTTTTATTGTTTATAGTGTGGTATGACTCATGGACATTTTGAATACTTTAAGGGTTGAATGGAATTGACGATATACAGGTTTATGAATGAATGAATAAATACATAAATATAAGAATGATTGAAATATACTGCATCTTATCATAGTCTATAATCATAAAATCATTTTTAAAAGTTTTTATTTTAATTTGATACAAGCCACTATTCAATCTGATAGACTAATTGGAGGAATAGGATTCTGTTACATACAAAAGTACATAATCATGATAATTTGCATGATTTTCATAATGATGGCATTACATACTGTAAATGCCACAAATTATGTTATTTGCATCAAATTATATCATTTGTGTAATGATGTCATTACCTGAATGAATTGGGACAAAGAATTGCATACAAAGTCCAGTGCATCCGGTTTTACTAAACTGAGTTTTCACTGTGGTGAAAAAAAGTATATGGGTAAAAAAATAAACTTAATTTTAGACATAATCAGTAGTTAGTTTGCTTTTCCTTTATATAGGAATCAGCTGGTTTTATGATGAGTATTTTCTATTTTTCATCTTCCCATTTTAGAGACCTTTCAGGGTAGTACTGGTTGTTAGATACTCTTGTTAAGGAGTTTGGAATAGATGTTGTACATTTATTCATTCAGTCTGTTTTCTGAGTGATTACGTCAGAGTTAAGATTTCATTATTGATTATACTAATGAGGTAGCCATGGCTTCTGGATCCAAAGAAGCTGGAATTCAAAGCAAGGAATGAACTGCAGGCTATTAACAGGAAGTAATGGGGTAAACATGTCTGGAATAACAAATTTGATCGGAAAATCTTTTTCCTAAGTTGCTCTAGCAATTAAACTCCACTCTTTTGGACAGTACAGTATATATGACTTGTACTTTTCAGTTTCTATTAAGTAAATTATTTAATTAGTAGAATATGTCAGTACATAGCTCACATAGATTTGAACAGTTATTTTCTTATAAGAGTATATTCTAACACAAAATTTTTGTGCAATTCCATTGACAACAAATAGATACTTTAACACTGCTACAAATTCATGGAATATATTAATGGAGGATTTTTTTGTTATTTTATGCAGTTCTTCATTTTTAATGCTTTATATAGTAGACTAATGTTTAAAATATATGCTTATGCTAATAGAAAAGCACTCTATTCAGAAATAGAACATACATCATTTTAAACTTTTTAAAATGATTGTTTTGGCAGCTACAAAGGCTGATGGGTTTGCACTGTATTTCCTGGGAGAATGCAATAATGTAAGTATAAATTTGGAAAACTAATTTATCGAAATAATGTTTCTTTCCAGGTTGCTTTATGTAATATATTGCACTAAGTTTGACAGAGGATAACTATACATTGCCAATTAGTTTTGTAGCTGATGAATTAAACTGTTAAAACAGTTTGGTTCTTTACATACCTTTCAAAAGTCCTCTGCAATGATTACTTTTTAAAATTTACCAAATTGTCAGATTAAACCAATCTGTATTGTGGTTCAGCTTGTTGGAAACCTATTTCTAGCCCTGGATCTAAAAGCAGTTTACAATGTATATGTTGTAAACACTGAGTTATAGTATTGATAGGTTACAGGTTGTAAGACTAACAAATACTGCAGCCTCTTTTAGCTCTTTCTGTTATGCAAGATTTGGGATAAGCCAGTTCCTTTCACAATAAAGAATCGAAATTAAAGTATCCCCATCAGATGGCTTTTAAAACTTCTGCTTGAATACATCTAATGAAGGAGCGCCCCTGTTTGTCTGAGTAATTGGCTCCATTGTCAAACTGCTGTTGCCATTCTGAAGTTGTATTTAATATGCCCCTGTTTGTCTGAGTAATTGGCTCCATTGTCAAACTGCTGTTGCCATTCTGAAGTTGTATTTAATATTTACTTGGAATCTGCCTTCCTATAAATTTAATTCATTATTCTGTGCCCTAATCACTGGAGCAATAGAGATGGGTTCTGACCTTCTTTGAGTGGCATTCTTTTAGTTTTTTAATTTATTTATGCAAAAATGTGTATACTACCTATTTCATTACCATATTACACTGCCACACCAGAAACATAGAGTCAAGAAAAAATACAGATATTAACCATATGGTAGACCTATCACCATTAGCACCCATACATTACACTCATAGCACGCAGACATCCCAGACATCTTACAACCTTAAAGGTCAGGAAGTACCCCAGGAAATAAGGTAAAGTATGGGGGCAGCCACCAAGAAGGATCATTGTAAGGCCCTAAATCCTTTAATTCACATAAGGTGGGGACACTTAGGAGGAATGGATAATTTTAACATACAGCGTAACTCCTCATGGTTTTTTAAAATGCTTTTGCTCCTTTTAAATAAGTCTGAACCTTCAGCTGCTGTATTCCAGGAACGGAACTCATCATGCTTGGAATTAAGCTACTTAGATTAGCAATGCAGGAAAAAATGATTTGATTGTGTGCTGCTTACTGAAACATTCATGGTATAACTTGCTTAGACTACATGGTTCATATCATCTACATATTTTCCTTTCTATGTGAAGAGAGGCCATTTGCCAACACTTCTTCCATTTTAATAAAACTTATACAGGACCTTTTGAACATCCTTAGGAATGATTCATAAGAGAATTTATTAAAAGTTATTGTGAAATGTATGGTTTCTACAATACCATCTTGGTCTACATAGTGGTTTTTATTGGAAATACTCTAATGGTCAACATAATATGATTTCTTTTCAGCAATAGTGCTTCCTTTTTCCATCATACCATATTAATTTGTAAACTGCTGTAGTATTAAAAGTACCCATTCATTTAGTTTTCTTTAAAAAATACATTAGTATCTATTTTGTATGCTTATCGATTTTTAATATTGTATTTTTCTGCAATTTAAAACTTGGAAGAATTGTTGGTGTATACTTGCTGGTCCTTTTAGAATATTATAATTTAATAGCCGTTGTCTTTCACATTTGCAAATGTCCTTGTATTGGTATTCCTTAAAAAAACGATGAAGATAAGAAAGTAGATGATTTGGATATCTGCCTCTTGTTTAATTGACATGAGATCTTTATTCTGAAGTAGATAATAAGGAAACACAAACACATCTTCATGTTTTGGGGTATATACATGGGTAAATGTTAGTTGATTCTTTGCACGAGACAGTGCCACCTAGTGATTCTGCTTAATATTTATAGGATAGAATTGCAAGTAACAAGGATTGTTAGTATTTCTGGTGGATTGGATCAAAGGAACTGAGTGGAATTTCATATGCCCAGTGTTCTTTTCTGACACATCCTTTCCACTAGACCTCCATGTACTCCTAAAAAGTCACTTCTAAGAGTCAAGGCATTCTTTAGAATTTTGTACTATCTATATACTACTAAAACTCTTGTGTCTGTAACCTTCAACTGGGCAAAATGGTGTGTCATAGGGCAACAATTTTTGAACTAAGGTACCTCAAATGGGCTAACTTACAGAATGTGTCCAAAATCCAGGGCTTATTACTTCTGTGGGATTGAAATTTGGGAAATTTGTGGTCACTTAAGCACTGTTGCACTGTCACACTACCATAGTCAACCCACGTCATGTGGTCCTATGTATCCCCAACCTCTTTCCCACCTCTGTCTGTCCCCTGTGCCCAATCGGCCGGTGGCAAGGCCCAACAGGCAAGCAGTGATTGGCTGCTTTGGAAACAAGCCAGAAATTTGAAATCTCTTAATGGCCATGGGCATTGAGGGAAGGATGAGTGAATAACTTGGGTGCCTGCTGGTGAGGTAAGGCTGGCCAGTGGGTGCCAGCAGTCGATGGGTGAGCCCTCTTCCTCCTTTGAGGGAGGAGGCCCTTGGGGATATGCCAGAATGAGGAGCGGGGGTACAGTTTTCCTCACAGTCTGCAGCTCCCTTTGTTCCACCTCTCACCAGCAAAGTGGCAGGCAGTTCCATGGGTCAGCTGAGGAGGAGGAGGAGGAGGAGGAGGAGGAGAAGGAGGAGGAGGAGGCGGCTTCACCAGGGGTCTCCTGAGGGTCATGAGGGGAGGGCAAACTGTGGAAGCCTATATTATATGTGGAAATGAAGGGAGGGAGGGAGGGAGGAAGGAAGATTTCTGATGCTCCCTGCCAGCTTCTGACAAGCAAAGTCAATGGGGAAGCCAGCAGCAAGTTGTAAGTCGCTCACACTCCACTGCTTTTTTGCCCTTGGTCATTCTGTGTCTCTGGCTAGGTAAGGAAATATCTCTGAAACTATGACCCAATGGGTCATGGGTTGTCTAGTGATGTATAAGGGTTCCCACGTGAGAAAGAAAGTTTCAGAATTCCTTCAGACTGGGTGTCATGAAAAAAACATCTTTCTGCTGATGCAAATCACCTTTGGATTCAAGTTAGGGTCTGTTGTTTGTCTGCTAGAGGGTGCTTGGATAAACTAAACATATCATTTGTTTTAGGTGAATTAAAGCTCACTGCTTCTTAGTTCAAGACGATATAAATAAAGCACACATAAGCATTTAAGTATAATGCAAACTTTATCAGAAGCTGAGTGCCAAAATTAGGGAAAGGAGAGGATGATTATTCTCCCAAAGTGCAGAAGGAACCTGAATCTTGCAGACACATCCATCTATGCTATGTGACCAGCAGATTGAGAAGAAAGTAGGAGAGTATCTCTCACATACATCAGAATTATGGAGAAGATGTGAGGTAAGGTCTCTCTTAGAAGACAGGTGGAGGGAGTAGGAGCTATCAGACAGCTACCCTAAAGCAGAAATCAGGTTGAGGTTATGTAGATACAGAGGACTTTGGGAAGAGGGGTTGGAGACTTCCAACCTTTCTCTCCAGAAGCTCAGCCGGGTTTCCTCTACATAATCTCATAGTAATCAATATTGCATTAAATTGTCACTCTCCAGACATAATTAATTACTTGTCTTTTATAGTAGGACTAATTTATTTATATTGAACTATTTGGAACTCTCAGCATATTTCTGTTCAATACTTTTAGTGGCCTTTTTTGGCAGTGAACCTTCTTTTCAATTATTCTTATAGATGAGTCTAGTAAATACAGAACTACATAATTTAAAAGAAACTATAAATTAATTGTGTGCTACATGTGCTTAACCTATACCATAGACTAGAATCTTTGAGATAACTTGTTCTTAAACCAAGAGAGTATTGGCGGGGGTGTGGGGGGGAGGCATCATGCTTTTCTGAAAGAATATTCCATATTGGGTGCTGCCACCAAGAAGGCCCTACTCTTGGCCATTGCACTGTGATCCACCCCATCATTATGACCTACAAGCAATGTCTCCCTTTTTCCTGTTTCAGATATCAGGTCAGTACATTATAACTGCCTTCAATTGTACAAAATAAAGTTGATTTATAAATCAAATAAATAGGTATCATCTGGATTGTTACAAGTGCTTATAAAAGTAGGAATCCATAGGTTGGTAAATAGGAACCCATAGGTTGGTAAGTAGTTGCATATTGCCCTGCAATACTGGTAATGGAGAAATCAGAAATGATTTTTTAGTTTTTTTAATACTAGGTTTAAGTGTGAGTCCACTCATGCATACACATGACAAAATACAATATAAATTTAAAAGCATGCTTGATTTGATTGCTTATGATGAAATGTTGAGAGAAGGGGTGAAGGATATAAAGGGGATGAGAGATGGTGAATTTTGATCTTTCTAGAGGTCCTAAGTGAATGCTTGCAGTTAGATTGATGATTGACACAAGTAGTCATCATCAAGAGCATATTTGCTAATGTTCAGGTACTGATGCTCGGTGAGGGTAGAGAAGGACTTACCTGATTTGCAATGTCTCTGGTGATGTAAACCAGTTCAAATATTGGGATATTGTTTTTCTTTCATGTGAGGTTTAAAAGCATTACTCGTGATAGCAACTCAAAAAGTAGTGCTACTATTGCAGTGCTTTGTAACTTTGTAAAAAGTAGGATCATTCAGGTGAATGTGTTTGTAGACAAGTGACAGGTCAGGCCTCTTAATTGCAAGAGCTTTGTAAGAGCATTTAGACAAATGCCCTTTAATATTTCATTTATTTATTTATTGTATTTGTTGAATTGAGGGCCGCTTCAATCACCAAGTGATTTTTGGTAACTTAAAGCTTATAACATCAAGTAATTAAAACCAAACAAACACTCACTTAAAAAGTACGTTGGCACACACCGTGGGAGAACAATAGTACAGACATATTCCCCACCAGACTACCAATGTAGGGAAAACTACTTCCTCTAGTCCCAGAGCCTGACAAAAGAGCTAGGTATAATGGCTTTATGGAAGCTCTACAAGATCAGGACCATATGGGTCTCAGGGTATACTGTTCCATAGGGCAGATGCTGTTACTGAGAAGGCATCTCTCCTAAGTCCCACAAAGTGATAGTGCATTATAGCTGTGCCATGGTCAAGCAGAAGCCATAGGAGAAAGATAGCCCATGGGTAACTGGAATGTGAGCTCATATCTCCATGCTGAGCATGCAGGGATTTAGAAGGCATCCTGGTAGGTGAGAAGAGATTACTGACATGTTGCAATGGATGCAGTGTAGTTTATTTATATTTTAAGTTCATTTTTTATTTTCTTCTCTATAGTTTCATATTTAAGTTTACATAAAGTTCTAGTGGGTTGATTATACACAGGCGTGAGGTTATGTACAAGCTGTGAGCTTTCACATAGTCAGGAAAAAAGATTTCATCCTTATACTCCATGTTTGGTAGTTTTTCGGGTTTAATCTCTTAAAAGGTAGGCTCACTGCCATCGTGGTGGCCATGCTTCCCCTTGCAGGCACACACACAAAAACACAGAGAAAACATCCAAACCTCAAACAAGAAGCTTGTACCAGACATTACACATGCAGGGCAACAAATCCAGGCATAAATCTCTCTTCACTCTGGAACCTCGCTCTGGGCACTCTGGGCCCTCGTCCTGGGCCCATAACCTGTTATGCAGAGTGCAGCTATGACCACAGTTCATGCCAAAAATACACACCAGTGTTAGAGAGATTTAAAGAATGCAATGTCCT